ACTCTCGGGGCCTTCGCACTGGCTGGTTCCTCTAGTGGAGCACTCTTTTCCCCAGCTCTTCCCATGCCTGGCTCCTTGTCACCCATCAGCTTTCAGCTAAGGCTGTCCTCGAACCCCATCTACCTCAAGAGGTTTCTCTTCAACTCACCTCCATCATCCTCAGCACTCACCACTCTCTGTAATTATTTATCTACGTATTGATTTGTTCATCTCCTTGCCTCAAACGGAAGCTCCATAAGAGCACGGACTTTGTCTTGCTCTACACTTTATTACCAGAGCCTGACACAGGAACCTGGTACCTAGTGAGAGCTCAAAAATATCTGTTGAATAAATGAGTGAATAATAAAGGACTGAATATCCCCTGGGAGAATCAATACTTTCAAACCCCCAAAGTCAGATCCCAAATGGGCGTATTCTCAAAAATCAAAAGTAACATCTTCCCTTTGGTGAAATAAATCCTGTGTTGTGTCCACACCAGGACTTCCCTTCGTTCACACCATCTTCTCTTATTTATCCACAACAGTCTTATTACTGACCACCTTTCTCTCTGGAAACGACCTAGACCTCCTTGGCTCAGAAAACCGGAACTCCTCTGGCCATAAGCCTTGTCCTTCAGAGGAACAAAAACAGGAAGGGAGCAGAGTCCTCTAGGGGCTTGACATGGTCCCAGGAGTCTAGGTGAAGCCCTGATGCCTGGCCAGCCTAAGACCTGAGACATGCAGAAAACAGCAGGTGCGCCAGGGGTCAGTAGCTCGAGATGGAGTTTGGGAAGAGACACACCCCGACTTCCCAGTCTGAAATCAGACAAATGCCCGGCTTCAAAACCTGACTCTAACATCTATATTTCTGAATGCCACATGGATGCTATTTAATCTCTCTGAGCCTCAGTTTCCACAGGTGTCAAAATGAATTTCACAAGTTCTACTTTAAGGGGATTGCTGGGCATTTTGCCCCCAGATGTTATGTCTGGCTATATCTACCCATCCTTCAATTCCCCAGTACGAGCCTATTATTCGTACGGGAAAAATACAACCAGATATCAATCATACTCAGTGACTTTCCCCCAAAAAATCTGGGTTTCCCAGACTGTTGAGGCTGAGCCATACAAGCCAATTCACATTTACTTAACTCTGTGAAATAGTGCCAAGCCGACTCCTGAATTTAGTGTATGCATGTACACAGCACCTACTCAATATATATTTTTCAATGAATGAATCAAATGACAAGATAGGTTGTGTCTATAGAGATCCTACTAATCAAGTCTGATAAACCAAAATCTCCTTTTTCACAGTCAGTGTCTGATGCTGGGCACTAATTCTCTTTGTGCTTTGATACTGCAGACAGACATGCGGCAAGAAAACAAACGTAGGCCATTATAAGGCTCAAGCCTTTGACCCTTACAGTTCCCTTCTGACGGAGGCCATGGGGAAAAAGAGCAGGTGGGATACTAAACCTCCTCATTTCTTTTGAAGATTATCCATCAGCTCCCCCAGGGCTTATGCTTTCAGAACCCAAAGGGACTTTTCAAAATAGAACAACTTCTCAGCAAAAAATAAAAAAATTAAAATTAAACAATCTTCATTCCATATGTGGGCTGTCACCAAATTTTTCAAGGATATTTAGCAGGAGCATTCTTCTTTTAGTCTTGCTCCATAAATACTGAACAAGGAAAAACATTGCCTAAGACTGAGATTTGGCAAAGGAATCTGATGAGACCCATGAGTTCTGTGCCACAGCGTGATGCCCCTGGAGGTTCCTGGTGACTGTATGATTCTCTAACTTTCTGCTGCCCTGCCACAGGCTTCACATGCAAAACACGGTTTCTTGTAGCTCACACATGCTCACCCACCAATGTAGCAGTATCTCAAGGCAAGAAAGAACGCTTACTCTTTAGAGTCCCACATAGGCACCCTTTAGTCTAAGAACACTCCTGCTAAAGCCACAGAAAGGAAAACGAAGAACCAGCTACTCCCTTCACAAAAGAAGTGCCCAAAGCTTTCTTTTTTTTCATTAGCTTCATTCAACAGATGGAAAAACTGAGACTTGGAAAGGTTAAGGAACTTCACTAATACAGAAGAGGTGGAGCCAAAGGTTTGGTTTTTTTTTTAATGCCTTTACAAATGGATTTAATTTAAGAAAATGTGAACAGCACACAATTTGGCAAGTGCCCTTGACTTGGCAGAGAGAGGGATGCCTCAACAATAGGCAGGATAAAGATGATGGGCTTACAAAACTGCATGCTTACAAACAGTATGGGTCTAAAATCAGAAAGTCTGGGTCCTGCTTCCTGCTGAGTCATTAATGAGCTGTGGGATGGAGGCAAATCGTTTAACTTCTTGGGTTTTAGTTTCCTCACCTGGAGATGGAGAATCATTAATGAAAGCAGGCATTATCTACTTCCCAGAATTACTGGGGAAATCAAAAGAATGTGATAGCTGTTGGAAAATATGAAGGCATATCCAGGAGTTGGTATCTCTTGTATTGTATGCATACACGTATGAAAATAAGAGCCACCCAGAAAATTACCTGCATCCATTCTTGCTCAAACTAAATGTACTTCCTCTTACTAACAAAGGGATCAACTGGAATGCAAGAGATTTTTGTGAATCAGGATGAACACACAGCTCTTGGAGAATGTGCACTGCTGTTTTGAAAACATGTGACCTACTCTGTCACAGCCAGCAGTCTTTTGGTGCCCTAGGATGGGCACACAGGCAAATGGACCCATTCCAGCTCTGCAGGGGTGAGATCCTAAGCCTATCACTTTGTGTTCACCAGACAACAAGGTGCGAGGAGTGCCCAGAACACTGAACACACTGTGAACAGGCAAAAGGAACCACTAACCCATAGGAAAACACACGTGGCCAAGTGTAAGAAATGTGACAGACACAGGTCACCTTCCTGGTTACTTCCAGGGATCCCCTCCCACATCCTACTGGCTTTGGGTGAGCTCTTCGGGAACTCTCGCCTGAGGACAGCAGTTACATGTCCTCAACAAATCGTCATTCCTCTAGGAAATCCAAAGAAGAAACACCAGGACAAATCCTAGCTCCACACTGGACAAGAGTTGCTGGCTCTTTTCCTCAGTGTGCCCCTGGCTGCCCCAGGTCTGTGCTGCAGAGTGGAGCCCACTCTGAGGCTGGCTGTCTCTTGCTCAAGCTCCCATTTTCTGCCCTTCACATGCATCTGTTCCAGAAGCTGACTAAGCCCCTCGAACTCTAGCCAGAAAGAACATCAGATGATTGAATAAATACAGGGATGATCAGAACAATCAAAGAAAATGTAGTGCCTGGAAAGCTCTACATGGATTCACCAACCTTGTCAGAAAAGCCAGTACAGGGGAAGATGCTTTACAGAGCAACCACAGGGATAGCTCTTTGCCCAACACACAGCACAATGGAGCTCAAACTTTAGTGTGCACCAGAACCATCCAGAGGGCATGTGAAAACATAGAAACCCTGAGTTTCTGAGTCAGTCACTGATGCTGTCCAGAGACCACACTTGAAAATCACTATCACAGTAAATGGGCAAAGGCTGCCCAGTCTGTCACTCCCACTGGGGCAACTTCAGATCCTGATTCATCCCCTTCCACCCTTCAAATTGAGCCCTAAGGAAACCTCATGATAAGAATGAAACAGTCATCCCTCCCCTCCCCTTTCCCATACATACAGCCATGCTGCTGTGGATGAAGAGAACAACTATCAAGCCATTCCTAATAAATATCTCCCAGAGCTGAGTCCAGTTCTCAGCTGTGTACAAGATGATTTCGCAAAAGGAGCGAGTTATGGTGCAAAACAGAGGTCATGGCAGGGCAGGAAGGGCGCTCAGGGGCTCCCCCGGTCCAATTCTCTGACCTGGTGCACAGTCCCTCAGTCCTCAGTGACAAGAGCATGCCATTGGGACAGTGCCAGGGAAACGCTGTGACCTGGTTTTCTCCTCACTCATTTATCCTGACGCTCTGCCACAATGCACTGTGATTTCCCCCTGAGAACTCACTTCATGTCACCAAACTGCTGCCCCGCCAGCCTCACCAACAACCCAGTGCAAAGCAGAGCAGCGAGTGGCCACAAACACACTGCACCTCTGGCGGGTGGCTGGGCAAAATCCCTCGAGCCCAGGATCAGAGGATTTCTGACCTGGAAGAGATCGTTAAAAACGTTTCTTTCCTTCCCAAAGCTGATTACATTATACAATACACTATTTTACTAACAGCAGGAGTTGTGGCTACAATAGCATTGTTTTGTTTTATGGGGGTTAAACGGAAGTTCCTACAGAGAGCAGTGCTGTGAATAATGTAAACATTGTGTGATAAGAGCCCATCCTACAAGTCTCTTCTCTTGTGGTTCAAATGGGAAAATCTGGCCAATATTCACCACACGTCAGCTTGACCTTTCCTGGCCACAGGACAGGGGAGGTTACATACATTTGAGGCTGCAATTGTGGGTCTGGAAACCAACTTCAGGCTAAATAAGGTAAAAGAATGAAGAGTGATTCATTCACAGCATTTTGGTAAATATACACAGTGTATGTGTTTGCAAATACCTGGTCTTTAAGATGATTTTGTGAACACAAATAAGCATATTTGGTGAAATAAATGTGACTTTTCCTCCCATTAAAAAAATCCAGCTAGCTCTTTCTCACATGCACAACTGTGCAATAGTTCCCAGGCTCTGACTGCCTGATCGGGTGGCAACCCCACAAAGTCTGTGAGTCAAAGAACAACCTCCAAAGCAGTAACACCAACACAATCTCCACTTACCCCCAAATTATGAATTGATCTCAGATACACCACATTCAAGATACGGGCCACAAGCCCAGACAACTGTATTCAGAAAATTCTGGAGCTCAGCCACAGGTGACAATATTGGCTGGGGACTCAAGAATACTGATTACTCCTGCCCTCTTCCTATCCCCCCAAAAGTCCATTCAGTTGCATGCACAGATGAGGCCATGCAAGAGCTGCCTCCACACCCAAGACCCTTGGACGTTCCTGTCCTCACCTGTTTTCCAGGAGCGTCATACACACCACCTCTCGCACCCCCGGGTTGTTGGCCTTCTCCACCGAACAGCCCTGCAAGTTCCAGGTGGCCAGCCTCAGCACAGGCCGCCCATCCCTCGTGCCTCCAAAGGCCTCCACCGAAGGCCGAGTGGAGATAATCTGCGTGGGCCCCCCGGGCGGCAGGTCCAAGTCCTCACTCTGCAGGCTCAGTGAGGTGGGGCTGGGGTGAGGCTTGGCCGTGAAGGTCAGGCCCCCGTTTGTGTGGGTGGACGGGGGCCTGGACCTCTCGGCAAACACCTGGTGCCGTATCCTGTCCAGGAAGGCGGCATTGATACCACCCATCCTCACCAGGTCCTCTACGCTGCGGAAGGGCCCATGCTCGCGGCGGTAGTCCACGATGCTGGCGGCCATCTTCTCCGTGAGGCCTCGCACACTCATGAGCTGAGCCGGGGTGGCGGTGTTGATGTTCACACGCGGGGTGAGGGGCACGGCGGTGGCCAGGTGGTGAGGCTGCTGCTCCGCCAGCAGGTCCCGCCGCAGGGAGCTGGGAGAGTGCTGCGCGGAGCTGCCCTTGCTGCTTACGCAGATCTCGAACTTGACCTGCTCCAGCTTGGTGGCACCTACGCCGCTGACCAGTGCCAGGTCCTCCACCTTCTTGAAGCCACCGATGTACTCCCGGTACTCCACGATGCTGCGTGCCACGGCACGCGTCACCCCGGGCAGGGTCATCAGCTCCTCCTCCGTGGCAGTGTTGATGTTGAGCCGCTCCTGATTCACCAGGATGTTGCTGAAGTTGCAGGCTGCGCTGAACTTGCGGCTATGGGACAGGTCCGAGGGGTCCCGCGGGATGGAGCGGTGGCAGCCCAGGGTGCTCCCCATGGCGGGTCAGGATCAGGGGCCTAGGAAGGCCTCACCACCGAAGAAGAATTCTCTGGTTAGGGGAGAAGCCCAGTAGACCTTAGAGGCACAGAAGAGGGGAAGGTGTAGGATTCAGGGGATGAAACCGTTAGCATAGATAAACACTAAGTCTCCATGCCCAGAGTGTCCAAAAGTACCTTTCACTTGGTCACCTGCAAAACAAATTAATAAACACACAAATCGATTGAATCAGTTAATCAGCCTGCATTAGCACTCCCTACCTAGAGCTGGAGTTCTTGACCAGGAGTCCTGGGCTGGTAGCTGTCCACGAACCCCTGCACATGCGCACACAGTGAGGCTGGCCCACGTGGACTGTCCTCCGGAAAGGTCCAGTTTTTATCACTTTGGGGTCTAAAAAGGCTATGAGCTGCTTCTCTTGGAAAGAGACCTATCCCCATCAGCCCACACCTCTCAACTCTCACAGCACTCGGGCCGTCTCCCCCCTTTGGTCGCCCCGACTTGGGCTCGGGCAGAAGGGAGGGCGCATCCCCCTCTCTCCCTGCGCCTAACACTCAGTGCCACCTGCAACTTGGGAATTCCATCCTCACTAGTGCGCTCACCAAGAAGGGGTTTATTGACCCCCACCAGACCCACCGCTCGTCCCCGCGCCCCACCTCTCGGCTGTTCCTTCTTCCACCCGCGGCTCCGAAGCCTGAGCCCAACCCGGGACAGCACGGGCCCCCTGTCTCTGGCCCCGGTGCCCGCGAGGGTGTGGGTCAGGGGCCGGGCCACGGGTTTCCGCCCACGCCGCCTCGGGCCGCGCGTTCCTGCTCTTCCTGCGGGAGAAACTCTCAGAGTCGCTCTCCGAGAGCCGGCAGGAGCTGCAGGGCTGCGCGGAGGCGGCAGCGACGGCGAGATCCGACCGCCGCGGCTGCACCAAGTCTTGCACCAGGATTTGCCGCGTCGCCGCAGCTGCGTTGCTCCAAGCAAAAGTCCTGCGCCCGACTCGGACGCGGGATCCGCCAGAACCGCGTCCAGCACCCGGCACCAGCACCAGGGCTCCTGCTCGCCGTCCGTGTCAAAGCCAAAGTCCCGGCCGCGCTGCCCGCGCCGCCGCCGGCACCACGGCCACGCCTCCTCCCGCGCGGCAACTCCTCCCCGGGACTCCCGAGGGCACGTGGGGCGGGCCCTGAGCTAGAGGCCCGGCCCGGGAGAGCCGAGCCCCAGAGCGTGGGGCGGGGCCCTGGACTGCGAGAGGCGGGGCCACGGAGCGCGGGGGCGGAGCCAGGACGCGAGCGGGTGGGGCGCGGGGCCCGGGGGTGTGCGAGGCGAGGCCGTGCTGCGTGGGGGCGGGCCCGAGAGCGTGGGGCTGGAGGTGGAACCCGGGAGCGCGGAGGCGGGGCCATGGCGAGAGGAGGCGTGTCCCAGGAGCGCGGAGGAGGGATTTAGGACAGTGAAGGGGCGGGGCCGACGCCGCGGCGGCCGCGGAGGGTCGCAGGGAGGTTGTCTTTGCGTCTGCAGCTCCTGAAGTGGCTTGCTACCCCTGACTGAGGGCTGGTTGTGCCTGGTGGAGGCTGTTTAGTCTCGTCCGAGGCAAGACCCGCCTGGCTGCTTTTAGGCGGGCAGAGCCCCACAGAAGAGAGGGGCGCCCAGGGGCTCAGACGCTAGCAGGCCGCTAGCCCGAGTTTAGTCGGTCTTTGGGTCCCGGGGACAGGGCCAGGCCACTCCTTGTGGGGGTGGCACCCCTGCGGGTGAGGGGCCTCTGTCAGTTCTGCCGTCAAGTCAGAGAATGTTCGAGAGGGGACTGAATAGGATCTTTTTAGCTCCCCCCCCCCCCCCTTTCCGCCGCCTCTTTTCTTCCACTAGAGTATTACCTTTGCACTGCTCACGGAGATGTCGCCAAACGACGCTCGTCGCTCATTGTGCTGCTAGGAGAGGGCACGAAACACTAATGATTTAGAGACGTGTTCACATAGGTCGCTTATGGGGTTGCTCACTTGCATTTAGTGCTCTGAGTAAATATGAGTTTATGTTTCTGTAAGCATTAAAGCTCGTCATTAAGAAGGAGGGAAATGCTAATTGGAAATGGACGCTGCTTCCCAAAATTCAGAAGTTTTTGGATCATACTACTAAGTGACAATTTAGTTAAAGATTAAAGAGCCTGCTGCCTTACAGTGGATACATAGAGCTAGAGCATTCGATTAAACAAACCATGTGGTGATACCGTTGAATACTTTGACCCTGAGCCTTTAGTGTCCTCTGAAGTTTCATCCCCAACCAGTGTGACCAATGCTTCTACTTTAAATTCCCGGGGGCTAGGTCACACAAACAGTAACTTTCAGGGAAGGCAGAAGTTACTTCAGATGTGAAATAAGATGCAGCCAAGTCTTGGCAAAATGCTGTTGCCTTTCTGGGCACCTTCCCGTACTGTGTATACTAGTCAGGGCTCTTCATTGCAAGTGATAGAAATCCAAGTCAAACTCCCTGAGACAAAAAAGGAGGATTTTCGGGTTCTTGTGCAGAAAAAGTTAAGGAATAGACTGACTTCAAGCATGGCTGCATCCAGCTCAAATGATGTCATCAGGACCTCTTCTAACACTTTCCATCTGTCCCCTCCACTTGCCCCTCCTACCACCTACTAGGTTACACTATGCCACTCCTTTCCTCCTGTAAACTTGCCATAGTAAGGAACAAAAATCATTCGAGAAAAGAAGGAAAATCCCTTTTAGGGGAGGAGAAAGTCTTTGTTGAGCAGAATGCCATGATGGGCCTTTGTGGCTACGGATGGACAGCCTGGGGGCATGGTCAAGTCGATTAGAAGTAGAGACTCTACATGTTTTGTTATCGAAACCAGGATACTTTGGAGGGTAAGAGGGACACTACTAACTTCACTGGCACAACAGGCATAATCTGATTTTGTTGCCTGTAAACCTAAGCATATGTTCCCCCTTGGTAGAAATGAAGCCAAGACATAGCTCAACCACTGTGCATTCAAAGAAACAAAACCACAACGAGATGACTGAATTTAAAATGACTGACCATACCAAATGTTGGTGAGGATGTGGAGCAACTGAAATTCTCATACATTGCTGGTGGGAGCGTAAGGTGGTACAACCACTTTAGAAATCAGTTTGGCAGTTTCTTAAAAAGTTAAACATCTACCATTCAACCTAATCATTCCATTCCTAAGTATTTAATAAAGAAAAATGAAAGCATGCAACCCAAAGACTTGTATGTGAATATTCATAGGAGCTTTATTTGTTATAGCCAAAAACCAGAAATAACCCAAATCTACCAGTAGAGAATGAATATACAAATAGTGGTATATCCATACAATAGAATACTACTCAACAGAAAAGACAAGCTATTAATACACACAATATTGAAAAATCTCAAAATCATTATACTGAATGAAAGAAGCCAGGCAAAAAAAAAAGAGAGAACATATTGTATGATTCCATTTATGCAAAATTCTAGAAAATACAAGCTAATTTGTATGTAGAGAAAGCAGATCAGCAGTTACTTGGGGATGTGATGGAGGGAGGAATGGATTAAGAAGACCACAAGGAAACTTTGGGGGTGATGGAAATGTTTGAGAGGTCATGGTTTCATGGGTGTATGTATGTCAAAACTTTAAATATGCGTAGTTTATTATACCTCAATAAAGTTGGGGAAAAAGTCTTCAAAAGATAAAAGGGATGCTCTTTGAACTTAAAAGAAAAAAAATCCAGGACTATTTTGGGGAGGAGGAGTAGGAGATCTAGGGTGGAGAAGAGGAAGTTGAAGGAGAACAAAGGGGCCCAAGAAGAAGTTGAGTCTGGAGCCAGCCTGGATTGCCTAGTGGTCAAGGTTCAGTGCTCTCACTGCTTCTGCGGCCTGGGTTTTGTTCCTGAGCACAGAACCACACCACCCATTTGTCAGTTGCCATGCAGCTCACATAGAAGAACTGGTAGGACTTACAACTAGAATATACAACCATGCACTGGGGCTTTGAGGAAGAAAAAGAAAAGAGAAAGATTGGCAACAGATGTAGCTCAGGGCCAATACTCAAAGAAGGAGAAGAAGAAGAAAAAGAAGAAGAAGTTGAGTCTGAAGCTAACAGAGAAGAAGACCAATGAATATTCCCCAGTTAGGGTGGGGGCCCCAGGAAAGGGGGTACCAAGAGAGACTATGTTCTCATTGTTTTGGGCTTATAAATACTGAAGTGGTTGCCTCACAGGAATATTTACCATATAGATTTGACAATCAGACTTTATTTATCAAGCAAGAAAAGCCAATGCCACAGTTCCAAACATAGTCCCCTTTACAATTCTTTGACATTTGTTCCATTCTTAGGATGGTCTGATCAGGCTTCAATTTCCCTCAAGGAAAGTGATTTTGGTTTGTGTGTATTGGTTTGACATAGTTTCAAATCCACTTGTTTATGACTTCAGTGAAGTTGTTTTAATTGACTTGTTTATGACAAAGACAAAAAAATTGTTTTGATATAAGAATAAAGTAATGTCACCGACTAGTTGCCCCAAGGAACTCAAGCGTGGGTTTGGAAGCATTAAACTATCTTTCCAAATTGTTTTCTTTTTCCTTTTGCTATGTTAAGAAGATACAATCACCAACCACCCGGAACCAGACCAAGCCTCACCACAAGAGCTACGCCTATGACCTTTGCCTTATTTTTAACGCTAAGATCTCTCCAGGAGGAGCTTAGGCCTTATTGCCATAACCTGCAGGGTATGTGGAAGCGTGTTCTCCATCTGAGCCTGTGCAAGAGAATACCACCTCTCCCTTTTGAATATTCATCCACATCAGAAATTAAAGGTCCCCGCTTCCCTTGGTTCGGGGGCAGCATAAGTTTGGAAATGATTCCTCATGGTCTCCTATTTGCTACAGACATACCTTGCTTTGTGAGACAACTTACTTCTGGTGGAGAGTCTGATTTAACTATCCAGGGTGGGACCCACTTTGGTTTCAGTAACAGTAAGTTGTGTCAGGATGTCATCTTCTCATCTTTTGTCATTGATAAGCAATCAGTAGCTCAGCTGATGACTGGCACTGCTGAGGGTTATCAGTCAGAACCTGTAAAGAAGTGACTATGGCGAGGGGCCGTTTAGACTATAAATACCCAGAGTTTGTGGGGGAATATTCAAGAGTTTCAGTCTGAGCAAGGTGACACTTTGCTGACCTAAATAACCTCTCTGAAGACTGTGAGGCATTCACTCCTACAGTGATAAGGGCAACTCCCTCATCGGCGGTGGTAACAAACCACAAAGCGGTCGCATGAAAGAGATTGGCCTGCCCACAAATGTTGGCACCATTGTTCCCTAGCAACATGCTCTAGCAACAGGGACTTAACTCTCCTTTTGCACTGGCGGCTGGACATCACCTCTCAGTTGGTCAAGCCGTCTCTCCCAAGTGCCTATTTGTATAAAAACGTACACCTTGATTAAATTTGGACTTTATTCTTTTTATCTACCCTTGTCTGGAACAATAATGTGGTTAGTCTATCCTTGGTTTGGAGTATGTTATGTTATTTCTTTATTGGTTTATTAAGAGACATTATCCTGTATGCTATTGGCTTGCGAAACTGTCATAAATCCTACAGTGAACCTGCGTTAAATATATACTATTGGCAAAGACAGTCTCAGTCTCTGAGCATAAGTTTGGTCTCTGAAATGAACCATAGTTTTTTTCAGTTGGGTCACAAGAGAATTTTCAGGGCCTTCCTCTCGTAAAGTGGTAGATGAGTGTTTCATGACAGCTGTAGCAATAAAGTAGGGTGGGTTTTTTTAACTATTGTTTTTAAAAACAATAGATTAGCATATATATTTTTTATTGTTTCTTTCTACAGAGCCATTTCCCTTCCCTATAAATACAGATGACAAGATGGAAAAGAGCAGGGAAGAGGAGAAGTGCCCCAGGTAGGGTGGAGGGGCTGGCCTGCAGCTAGGGCCAAGAGTCTCTCCTCTTGTCTCCCAGTGGCCCCATGGCAGTCTTTCAAGTTCAGCAGTTGTCCTGGAGACTATGTTTTTGAAGGCCACGAGGTGCCAGATATCCTTTTATCTGAAGCCCATGAGTGAAAGCTCTGCAGGTTGTACAACTCCATCCTCCATCCTCCAGTGCAACATGAACTTCTTGCTCAGTTCCCTCCTGCAACTGTTTGTGTCCAGCACCTGACTGATC